GGTTGTTCTTCAACAGGGTAATCTTTCGTTCTGCTTGGTTGACTAGAAGGTGGTGCTTTACGACAATCCGGTGCTCGACGAGAATCCAGTGCTTGATAAGAATCCGGTTGCTGAGGAGTATCTGGGGCTTGATGAGAATCCGGTGGTTGACGAGAATCTGGGGCTCGATGAGAATCCAGCGGTTGTCGAGAATCTGCGGCTTGATGGGCATCTGCTGCTGGTGGACTAAATGAACTCCTCATTTTCTTCACAGCATCGGAAGCTTCTGGCTCCCTTGACACAGGTGCTTGACCAGAACCTTCTGGATGACGCTCCGAATTTCGGTTTGCTGGTTGCCCATAATTGTGTCCTGCACCGGCCTCACGAGAATGTTCTGCGGCGTGATATGCCGATCTGCTTGGCATTGTGGGCGGTTCAGTGGAAGCCTCTGATACGCGAGAACCCGTTGAGGCCTCGATTGAGTTAGTTCTGGCAATAACTTCAGGGCATGCCTCCATTATCAGCACAATGACAAACACCGAGCAGAGAAGAGGGTTGCACCCCGGATGAGGTGACTTCCAACCTCCTGGCTCCATTCTGCCGATGAACAAATGCCGCAACAGTTCACCTCTGCATACAAGATGCAATAGTTTCATGGAAAGCAGTAAAGGGTACTGCCGTCACGAAAGAAATGCCCACCAGGTCGTCGCAAATGAAACACCCTCCTCGTCACCTGTTGCACAGCAGAGCCTACAGGGCCAGCATTACAAAAGGCAAAGAGAGAAAGCAAAAAATGTCAGTACAAAAACTTATTCCTCATTCTTGTCTCAAAGTGAAAGCCCAGTACTGGATGACTTTTACATCACATAGGAGAGTATAGGATTCCCTTGAAGAGATACAACGGCAGCAGCATTTCTCCAAGTACACACGGCTCGGCTGGCAGACAACTCACAGATGCTTCTGGCTTTGCACATAAGCCTGCTCAGTCAATCCCCTGATTTGGCAGGGCAATCAATGCTGGCAGGAACCACGGCCACTCGCACATAGCCAGGATATTCCAAATCATTTCTTTCAAGTGTAATGGGACGCTGGACCCGATTTCCAGCAGGTGATGCTCCCCACCAATAGCTGGAGCCTCTCCTCCGGTGGTAGTGCTGTCTGCTCTTATCAGCAGCACTAACACAGAAAGGGGTGTCCTTCCAAAAAAAA